AAAGGATGAGACTGATGTTAAAAAGGAATGAACTAAAATTTCTATAAGAAGTCAAAAGCAGGAGTCTTTGAAGAATGGCCATGATGATGCAGATAGGAACATTGATGTATATTATTTGTTTTGAACAAAATGTTAACCATAGCTTTGCCTTTTCATATGGTATAAATAGAAAAGAAGGCCAGTCAATAGTTGTGACTGAAAACTATAATTTCAATTGGCTATGTTAAAAATTCCTATTTATAAAACACAGTAAATCAAATAAATAATAGTATTTCTATTTATAAATAATTGAATATGGAGCAGAAAAAAGGCATTCATAATGTACAATCATAGAATAAGAACCAATCTGTTGTCAGGTATAAAGACAAAACTCGTAAGTCTGAGTTGTGAATCTCCTCTAGCTCACCATATTTAGTGCGTTTACGAAAATAAGTCAATCCCTCTCCTATATTTGATACAGAATTCCTTAATATAAAAAGAAATAGAACTCTTCATAAAGAACAAAATTAGTAAGACTTAAGGGTTTTAAATACCTTTATTTAGTGTATCAAATATATATTTACCAAATCAAGAGTAAGTTACTTTCTTGTTTTACCCAAAATTCACTTACAGTTTAAATTCATTACATAGTTCTCCATTTAAATAGTTTCAATAGTTCCCAATATGCTTTAAGGAATAATAACAAATTAATTTGTGATTGGTATATTTATGGCAGATCTGACTGAAAGGAGCTTTTCCTACAACTCTTTTCCCAGATCTGTATGTTTAAAACGTCTTTGACATTTTACATATTAACCAAGTAAGTCTGTATGTGTGGAAACACATAATACATACATACATATATGTATTACATATATATGTATGTATAATACAAATTACACACATGTGCCTATTACATATATCTGTATATGTGATATATAAAACAAACTTTTACAAAACACGATTTAATTTTTATGTGTGCAATATGCTCTGATATTTTGCCTGCTTTCCCTATTTCCTCTTTTAAAAAATGCTGATCACAACCCACTAAATTGATTTCACAAATCACTAATGAGTTGCAATCTGCAGCTTGAAAAACACTGCTGTAGGCCAATTAAATATTGTCCTTTACTTCAGGTTTCTTTAATTAGTTGGATATACCTGGAGACAGTGTCATTTGGAAATGATAGTCAAGACCAATGTAGAACTTCGATTCCTATACAGACACATAAAAGTTCCTCCTAGTAACCCATGCAGCCTTTCTCTATAAATTAGTATGGCTGGCGTCACTGTAAATCTTGCAGGCATTTCCTTTATCTGTAGAAAGTATCTATTTTCAAATAGAGAAGAGAATCCCCACTGAAAAACAAACTAAACCACACAGTAAATCTAACAAAGTGATTAATGGGCTTGGCTGTCAGCAGAGTCCAGCTTTCTTCCCTCAAGAAGTATGAATACCACCTCAAATTCATCTTCCTTAATATGCTACCACTTAGTGTGGTGTTCTAGAGATACAATTGCTAGTTAATAATTAATCAGAAGGATCTCTACTAAAAGCTGCAGAAGGGAGAATGAATAGGTTTTGCCCTGCATAGAGGAAAGTTTCCAACAATGACACCATAACATGATGTCCACAAGGCATAAGTACACTGGCCTTTATGAAGCCTGGATAGTGTGTTAAATTTTTTTTTAATGCAATACTCTTCAGAAAAAAAAAACAAGTTTAATTCTCACTACTCCAATAATGCTCACTATTCCACATCACCTCCCTTTTTGCCCCACATACCCTCTAAACCTTTCCTAGTTTAAAATATCCTGGGCTTGTTCATCAGAGTGCTCATCTTGACTGTATTTATTATTATATAACTGTCTTATGTTTGCTAACCTGCTTAGACTGCAAGCTGCCTAGTTCACCATGGAATCCACAGTGCCTATCCTAGTGCTTGGAACATCAATGATATGCAATAAATACCTGTTGAATGAATGAGTAGATGGATGAAAGTGAAGGAATATATCAGAATATAGATTGTCATGTGTTTTCTGCTCCTAAATAGAGGTAGAGAGTAAACACCAGTGACATACTCTCTGCACTCACTGAAAAGCAGGCTCACTTTCTTCCTGTTCACCCAAGCCAAGAGCCCTTGTTATGTGCAACTTTTTCTACCCATTCAACTAAGGTTAATTGGATTCCTGTCACAAGCCAGCAACCACAATCTCTCTAATCCATCTGCTTCTCTCCATGGCTTGTACCCCAGCAAACCATTTCTCCCTTAGATTGTTGCAGTTGTTTCTTAAATCTTTCCTGCATCCTGCCTCCAATAGTGTCCCTGCCCCAGCCTGTTCTATATGTAGCTTCCCTAGGAATCTTCCTGAAATACATGCCATTCCTGTACTCAAAATTCTCAAAGCCAAACCTCTAAATCTCACAGAAAAGGTCCCACCTTTTCCCCCACATTTATCTCCCTGACATGAATTTCATGTCCCACTTACATAGCAAAACTCTTAAAATTTGCTGAACATACTATACGGTTGCATCACTCCATAACCTGATCATTCTGTTCTTTCTTCTTGATTATCCTTCCCACTTTCTTCACCTGAGATACTTCCATTCATTCCTAAAGATTTGACGCAATTGGTACTTTTTTGTGTGAAACCTTCCCTAGTGCAATTACCTTCCTACACCATTCCTCCTCTGTGGTCCTATGTGACTATGCCTTACAGGTCTATAACAGCACTTGTTAAATTGTAGTGTTATTGTTTATTAGCATACCTGTTGTTGCCCTCTCCAAAAGACTGCAGAATCCTTCAGGATGAACAGCAGTGAGCAAGAAAGAAGAGATGAGCATAAATCCATTTTTTGTCTATAGTACCTATTATAGATGTTGGCCATAATAGTTTCCATCAGAATCCATAGTTTCTGAGAACATAATGCAACATAGCTAGTTTATGCAAAAAGGAAATTATTACAAGGTTGTGACAGCTAACAAAACTCTGGAAAAGGAACGGTGTAGAGCTTGAATGCTAAACAAGTAACAACTTTTCACTGTAAGGTTCTATTCTAGAGGTAACTTTACTCCCACTGCCCCAGACCGGTGATATTATGATCAGCAGCTTCATTACCAATGCTTCCAGAAGAACCAAACATTTTATCACCATAGTTACCAGAAGATTCTATGTCAACTACTCATTACGCAAATCTTCCTTCCAAATCTCATCTAAAAAAGGGGTGCCATTCTGCCTAACTCCAGAGGGTGCCAATCTCACATGTAGAGCCTGGAAGCCACAGGCATGATCGTGGCTCACTGCAACCCCTGCCTCTTGGGTTCAAGTGATTCTTCTGCCTCAGCCTCTCAAGTAGCTGGGATTACAGGTGTACGCCACCATGTCTGGCTAATTTTTGTATTTTTAGTAGAGATGGGGTTCACCATGTTGGCCAGGCTGATCTCAAAAACTCCTGGACTCAAGTGATTTACTGCCTTGGCCTCCCAAAGACCTGGGATTACAGGTGTGAGCCACTGCACCCAGCCAGTTCTATCTATCAGAATAGATATAATGGACATAATTTTATTTCTCTTTCTCTACTGGAAACTGTTCATGAAGTATAGAACTGTTTTGAAAAAAAACCTAATAAGCCCAAATAAATTCATTTTTTGCCTGTGGTTTAGTTTTTTTCTCCCAAAAATCAAGGCCAAAATTAACAATTTTCTAGTGCATTTCCAACCCAAGTCTTTTTATATAGCCAGATGGAATTTCTAAAGATAAAATTATGCTTACTGATAGTAGTTTCTCTATCCCAATTCAGCCACTGACTTATTGGGTGATATTGCTGAGCTATATAAGATATAATACTTTGTTTAACTATAGCACATGAAGTGTAAGAGGCATTAAGTGAAAATTTTTATAACAATAGTGATGTGAATTCATTTTTATATAAGACCATATAATTTTTTTAAAAAGTCTTTCTCTTATGAAATGATCTTCACAACATTTCTGAGAAGCCATCAGGTATTATCTTCATTCTGAAGATGAAGAAATTAGATTCAAATCAATGAAACAACAAATACATATTGAGCATCTACTGTATTCCAGGTCCTGTGTCAGGTGCTACGGTTGCCAGTCTAGTGGTAGAGATGCTGTAGTGGCCTCAGTGGAACGAGCACCCTGACTAAAAAACAGCATGGAACAGAGGCACTAGGGTAGAATAGATGCCCAGAAGCAGCTCTTAGCCCAGACTTTTGGAGACAGGGAGAGTAACATCCAAACCAATGTTTCTTAACCAGTGGCAGTTTTGCTGCTCCTACCCTGTCCCTGGGGCATTTCTCAATATCTGGAGACATGTTTGATTGCCACAGCTGGAGGACCACTGGCTACTGGGCTCTGGTGAGAAGACAGGGATGCTACTAAACCCCTTTCCAAGTCTCACCACAGGATACCCCCTAACAACTAAGAATTATACAGTCCAAAATGTCAAAAGTTCTGCCGATGAGAAACCTTGATGTAAGCTTAACAGCTGCTACATGAGTAGGAGTTGGCCAGGTGGAAGAATGAGGGGACAGCAAGGAGGGGGTGGAGCAATGACAAAGAATGGTCTTCCAGGAATTGAGAACTGCTTGTGTGAAGGACCTCCATGCTGATTCATTTGCCAATTTCTTTGTGTGGTAAAATAGGCATAACATAAAATTTACCATTTTAGTCACTTTTAAGTGTACGGTTTCGTGGCATTAAGTACATTCACATTGTTGTGCAACCATCCCCACCATCCATATCCAGAACGTTTTTTTCTTTGGAAACTTTTTAACGAACTCTGTACATTAAACAACTCCCCATTCCCCTCTCCCCCAGCTCCCTGAACCCACCATTCTCCTTTCTACTCTCTGCCTGCCTACTTGAGTGGGAATCATACAATATTTGTCCATTTGTGTCTGGCTTATTTCACTTAGCATAATGTTGCAAGGTTCATTCATGTTGTGCCTTGTGTCATATTTTCCTTCCTCTTAAGGTTAAACAATATTTCATTGTAGGTCTATATCTCGTTTTTTTTGTTGATCTATCAATGGAAACTTGAGTTGTTTCCACCTTTTGGCTACTATAAATAATGCCATTATGAACATAGGAGTATAGATATCTGTTCAAGTTTCCATTTTCAATATTTTGGGTATATACCCAGAAGTCATCTACCAGTTACTTTTATATACCAGTTAATTTCCTGGCATTGTCTTAGTGTTTGGTATACAGTAAGAATAAGACCCAAGATCCCTCTGTCATGGACCCTATATTCTGATGAAGCAAAATAAATAAACCAAGCAACAAAAGAGATTATTTCAGAACACATGATTAAGAAAATAAGCAGAGGTAATGTGGAATGAATACGAGTGGACCTTAAAGTGCTAGGGACGGCGTGGAAAGCAGGAAAGGTAACAGAAGGCTTCTCCTGCAGGACAGGCAGCTCAGGACTCCATATTTTATTTTATGGGCAATCAAAAATTCAAAGAAGTTGAGAAGTTAAGTAAGTTCCCCAAGATCCTACAGCTAAAAAATTCTGCAGACCAGGCTAGAATTCCATTACCATTGTCTATCATTACTATATAGATTTTCTTTTGAGCAGAAAAGTTGGAAGAGGATACACGTTTATTAAACACGACAATCAGAACACTGACTCTCAGACATCTGATCTTCTCCATTTGCTTTCTTAATGCTCCCCAGAATCAATTCTGTGAATGGCTAGAGGACATCTTACTCTTCGACTTACCCACGCTCATTCTATCCTCAGCGCTGCCACTGGTATTCCTCTTTGTTGAAAGAGATTTTCTGCAACTAAAGAATAAAATAGTACTGATTCTAAAAAGAAATGTTATACTTCCTCATAGCCTCACTTTAAAATAAAAAACTTCTATTCCATACAAGATAAAAATAACAAACAACCTGAGTAATAACTGACAAAAATACAGAAGTATTCTGTCAAACAATAGGAACATTGTTTTTTCTGACCTTTGCTTTCAATTGAAGTCATGTGCAGCTTATATAAGTATTACATGAAACTTGTTTTGCAAAGAATCGCTGTCTATGATGATTAATAAAGACAGAATCTGTTGGCAAATCTACCTTTTAAAATATTACAAGCTTTTCTAGCAGGAGGAAGAAAGTGACCCTTTCTCACTAAGCAAATGGACATATCCTTTCATGTAGGATTAAGGCCTTAAGACAGCTGATGTGTACATTTAGGATTTATCAAAGCTTCTGTATGAAAGAATGTGTCAGGTGACAAAATGTGTTGTGATCCAGTTGAAAATCCAAACTTTATTTGTTGAATGAGCAAGAATATGTTATGACACAAAGTTTATATCAGGAAAAAAGATTCTTTCCCTTTAAAAAATTATCATTTAATCTTTTGCACTAATGTGAGCTATTGTATAAATAGTAAATAGACACTCCTAGCCTTTAAAGTGTTTTATGAAAGTGGCCAGTTTTGCTTAATATATTTGCTCTATCAACAAACAGTTGCTGAACAACTATTATGTGCAGAGCCCTTTAATAAGTGCTATTAAAATTGTAATGTATCATCGTGAAACAGAACATTTTCTTACAGATTGGTTTGGTATAATAAAAAAACACCCTATGTGAAAATATTTAACAGGTTTTAGGAAAGTTTTAACTTATTAAGAGTCCCATAATTACTGTCAGGGGACCTCTTATGGTTGTCACTTAGAATTGACCTCAGATATAGCACTTCATAAATACGCAACTTAATGTAAGACTGTAGGAAGTAAAAGGAACTTTTCATTGCCTTGCTTTGTGCAGAATAATCTTCCACCTCTCCTATATCTCCTCTGCTTCCTTTTTAGTTATTCTGTAGTCAACACATTTTTATTATGTGTCAGGCACTGTGCCTGATGCTGAAAATACAAAGGTGAACAAGAAAGACAAGGTTGCTGCTGTGTGAAGTTTACAATCTGGTCAGGGAGACAAACAAATAATGTAGTAACATGAAGTTCACAAGCACCGTGACAAGGAACATAGAGATCACCATTAGGGCACAGAGCAGAGGCATCAAAACCCAGTCTCCAGCATAGCACTGGGACATGGAAAAGCGGAAATGCCGGAAAAACATCCAGAGGAAGACATATTTATCTCAACCCTCAAGAAATCCCCCAAATTCTCATCATTACCGGGGAAGAGCCTAGATTTTGAGCATAGGTTTTGAAGCCAGTTCCATCTGAGTCCTCTATGTCATACTGCTGGACACTCCATTGCCCCTGGCTGGCTCATTGTGAATTGGTCCTACTTTCTTACATTCATGAATTGATGAACCTGAGGGAGCCCCAAGAATGGTACCACCCCAAGCTTTAATGTTATCACCACCACTCTCCATTTGGTTGCTTTGGTTTTAGGAGTGAATCTCAATTTCTACTGAGACTGGAGTACTCACCTAACCCCAGATAGTTTGTCCAGGATCCCAATTCATTGGCCCAGCTCTTGCAAATTCTCCCACTCTCATCCTTATTCTTCCCAGGAATCAAAGGGCTCAGCCCTTGGAACTTCTACTGCAGGATGGATTCCTATTCCATCATAAGACTTGCCTCTCGTTTCACCTCACTCTCAAATTAAACCCCTGGAAAGCAAACATCATTTCCTGGGAAAGGTATCCACATCTCAACTACTACTGGCCAACTGCCAGTTGTCTTCTCACGTCAGGTGGGAATGTTCATCTATTAAGGTTCTTTGGTTGCTTACAACAGAAATCATTTTGAGCTTCTTTAGTGGAAGAAAAAATAAACACACTGGGGAAAAGTTGAGTAGTTTACAGAGCTAAAAGAAAATCTAAAGTATCAAACATCAGAAGGCCATTTACCAGGGCTGCCCTGGGCATTGAGGCAGCAGAAATGAAGGGGAAAGCTCTTTAGGAGCCACTACTGAGGTGACTGTACCTTGGATGCATTCCGTAAGGCTTCAATTCCACACAGAAGATATCAAATTGGCCAAGCTTAAGTCATATGCTCACCCATTGGCCAGAGAAAGACAAGTACCACTATTGACTATATCCAGTGGAAGAGGAGGGATTGTCCACAGTACAGCTGGAATGCTGTTACCACAAGAAGAGAGAGTAGACACAACACTGCAAATATTAGAGCATCCACTTTAGTGGTCAGTCTTGCTGCCGGGTGATTTTTCAGTCCCAGTCCTGAGAATTCCTAGGCTATACCTTTTTCTGTACCTGAATGTAGTTTCAGTATGCTTTCTAACCTGGTCCACATGGGTTTCAAAGCTCTCAACATAGGAGCACCAGAAGCCTTTGAATGTATAATCCTCAAATCAAAGTAAGTGGTATGCTTAATTTTAAACTATATTCCCCCAGAATGGTAAATTTTTAGGACTAGCCATGTAAATAACAATGAGAACCCACAAATAAATCCCCTTGTATATTTTTTAAATGCTGTATGTTCTTACCATTTAGAGCAACTCCTTGAAGAGAAAAGGCATGTCCTGTGCCTATCCTTGCACTCAAAAATGTTTTCTTCCTCTTGAGCTAAGATTTTTTTTAGCTACTTTTCCACTTGCAGTTTTAGGATTCCTCTAAATAAATTACCATGGAAGGCAACACATTATATCTTTTTCGTTGGGCTCTCCCCGTTAGCCACCATGCAAGCACACATACCTTACGGTGTGGTTCATTCTCTCTTCATATCTATTTCCTGAAAAAAGTTTTACATAAAGGCAGAAAATACTAAGAGCCTGTTTTCCATTCTTGTGACCCTTGTATATCTAACAGTTGCTCCTGGTGAAAATCTTTGGAGTAAATATTTTCAGCACTTGAATAGAAAGGCCTGATGCTTCTTGCTATGACACAGCTCAGCATAGAGATCTGGAAGAAGAAGAAAGAAGAAGAAGAAGAAGAAAGAAGAAAGAAGAAGAAGAGGAGGAAGAGGAGGGGGAGGAGGAGGAAGAGGAATAGGAAGGAGAAGGAGGACAGGATGATGATGATGATAGTGATAACCAATAGCCAACATGCAGTAAGCCCTCACTGTGCATGGTCTCAACCCTAAGCATTCTGTGTGCATTATGTTCTCATACTGGTGCAAATGATCTGAAAGTGTGGGATACTCACAGGAGAGAAAAACAGATCATTCCTGGAGCCAAGTGCCCAAGTAAATGGAAACCATGAGAGGATGGAATCCAGAGTTCAAGGAGAGAAGTTGGCCTTGAATAGGAGTGGAGAAGCCTGTCCATTGTAACATCGCTAGGAGACTTGAAGACTTGGTTTTTGGAAACAGGAAGGAATTCTCTTATAAATGTTTCTAGTTTCTCAACAAAATAAGAAGAAAACGGTGGAAGAGAACAGGGTGGGTAGTTGTTGGAGGCATCAGCAAAATGACAGTGACAAGGCAGCAGAGTTGCTACTATTAATTTGAGCAGAAATAAAAGACCTTGTCACTGTATTGTGGAGTAAAAGGAGAAAACTGTAAATTCCATGTGGAACCGATGCAAGATATCCCCAGGGTTATGCAGAATGCTTAAGGGATGGCTGCAAGTTCTCCTAAAGCAGGCTCGGGCAGGACAAAGAACAACAATCTTTTGTGAATATTGTGGCCCTGCTTCTAAACCTCACCTCAGTAGACAGACTTTAAAAGAAAGGGGTTTCATAATATTTTTTCATCATTCCTGCCTGATTCAATGCCTGAGGAAGCAACACTGCACACTTCTTAAGATAGGGTTTGCTGCTATGCCTTCAGTGGTAGACATGATGCCTGAAGGTAGGAGATACTTGATAAATATTTTATGAATGAATCAATGAATAAATGGATGGATGATAAGGAATTTATAAAATTTTATATAGTTCTCATTCTTAGTTTTTCTGCATAAATTTCTTTGTTTTACATGTTGTATGGTAATGTCATTCTTGGCTTTTGACCTAAGGCCCTACTCAGAAACCTAAGGAAATCTCAGAATAATTATTTTACTAGAACTAAAAATGAATTAAATATTATATATTATCTGGAGATAGCTATAGCCACCTAATATTCCCAAAAGTTCCACAATAAGTGTCCTTCTTTATCACTTACTGGCTTTAGTATGAGAAATATTTTAATACTAAGTTCTTCCATTAGACAAGGATCTGCTGGAATGGCCACTGCAGAACATGTTTTGCTCACTTTTCTCCAAGAAGTTCCCCAGTAAAGTGTGACTTTAGGTCACATGACCATTCAGGCTGTCCTCTGATTGCCTAGTTCAATATCTTAACTAAGAGGTGTTTTCTTTTGGACCAGGAGGGCTCCTACTGTACCAAGATTTTCTTTCTAATTTATCAAAAATCCTCTCTATACAACCCCTCCATAGCAACCATACAATGCCATTGCTCCAAGGTTCCTAATCAGTGATGTCCCCTTTTAGCCTACCCATATACAGATAAATATTTGCACACACAGAGATTCATCTTCAGAGGAAGAGCTTTTGTCTTATTACATGTTCTCAGTAGTTAGTATGATGTTTGCTGAAGGAATAAACAAATAATTGACTAATAAATAAATATTGAATTATTGTAACAAAGTGACACCCAGAAACTCAATTTCTGCTCCATGCTGTAGAAGAGACAGCAACATTGAGTCTTTATTTCAACATTCAGTGTCTTGCCTTCAAATGTGGAGTTAAGCATTCTTAACTCTGTCTTCCCTCCAAGACTTAGCAAATCACCACAATTGTCCTCCAAGCCCAATTTACTCCCACTGAATAGAAAAAAAAATCACTTAGGGAAAGTCGGTGTCTAACATTGACTGATTATTCTCAACTAAGAGATGGAAAAATGCATTCACTGC